TTCACTAAAACTTCCACTATATCCTGACAGTAGTACATGAGACAGATAATCTGTGAAACAATCAGGTTCCTCTAGCTCCTCCTAGTGTTCCTAATGGGATTTGCAAGAATCCACTGAAACAAAAACAACCAATCAGAAAGAAAGATGATTGTTGAGTCTCACTGCCAGGACATCAAATATCGATGGGGATGAGACTCAACAACAACTTTCTTCAAGCCTCCAATCCACAGTGTCTGTCTATCTTTCTCGGTTCTGATTGGTTGTTTGCGTTATGTCTAGCTATTTGTACTCAGATGTCAAACATGTTCCGAAAAGTCTACAGAGAAGTCTGTAAAGATTTTGAAATGGAAAATGTGTAAGAACCCTTTTGCCTCTGTCTCCTCAGATGTGCATTCTGTGTGTATTCTTCCTCTTACTAACTACATTACACTCTCATGCTCTGTCAGTGTGATGCGGCGCAGGAAAGGGCCATTCAAACACCTAAAGTTTGGAACCAACATTGACCTCTCTGATGAAAAGAAGTGAGTGAAGTGTTGAACTCCACAAAACATCCGGTCGCACATCATGTTGTTTGGGATCTTTTTAGTTGGGGGAAGGGAATAAGCCTTTCTGTGACCTTTGCCCTTTTACAGGTGGAAACAGCAGCTTCAGGAGTTGTCTAAATTGCCAGCTTTTGCCAGGGTGGTGTCAGCCGGTAACCTGCTCAGCCATGTAGGGCACACCATCCTTGGCATGAACACAGTCCAGCTCTACATGAAGGTGCCAGGGAGCAGGACGCCAGGTACACATGGACACAATAAATAACACAGCTGTCTGTGTTTTCCTGCTTTGTTAGTAATCGCATCCGTTTTCTTCCCAGGTCACCAAGAGAACAATAACTTCTGCTCAGTCAACATCAACATCGGTCCAGGGGACTGTGAATGGTTCGCTGTGCCTGAGACGTACTGGGGTGTCATCAACGACTTCTGTGAAAAGTACGTCACCAGAAATGATCTCTGTTTAAAGTGTTTGAGCCAATCGACAGGGTTTAAACTGACGGCTGCCTCCTTTTACAGGAACAACATCAACTTCCTGATGGGCTCCTGGTGGCCCAACCTGGAGGACCTGTACGAGACCAACGTGCCTGTTTACCGCTTCATCCAGCGTCCCGGGGACCTGGTGTGGCTCAACACAGGCACCATTCACTGGGTGCAGGCCATTGGCTGGTGCAACAATATTGCGTGGAATGTTGGACCCCTCACAGGTGAGAAAGGAAAGGAATAAGGACTGCGTACAGAGCGCGGGCTTTGTTTCCACTGATGTGCAGATAAAAATGAAAGAGTGCATCTCGTTGTTCTGTCCCTAGCCCATCAGTACAAGCTGGCAGTGGAGCGCTACGAGTGGAACAAACTGCAGAGCGTCAAATCCATCGTTCCCATGATCCACCTCTCCTGGAACATGGCCCGGAACATCAAAGTGTCAGACCACAGGCTCTTTGAGATGATCAAGTGAGAACTTTACTGTTTCTCTTAAAAACCCACTTTCTGACGTGGCTGCGAGGACTACTGGGTGTGTTCTTTGCGCTGACTGCCTAACGTGTGTCTGTGTATGTTAGGTATTGCTTGTTACGGACTCTGAAGCAGTGTCAGATGCAGCGGGAACTGCTGCTGGCTGCTGGGAAAGAGCTGGTGTGGCACGGGAGGACCCAGAATGAGCCGGCACATTATTGCAGCATCTGTGAGGTAAGCACACGTCGTAATGCTAAACACAGGGTTGCCAAGGGTCTGGAAAGTACTTGAAAGTGCTTGGATTTCAAAAATAACAATCAATATCTCGAAAGTTATACACCTGGAGTGCCGGCCAATCTTCCTATCTATCACTCTCCACATAGGTTTGTTTATTTTGAGTGTACAAGTTCTACCATATTTGGCATAACCATGAAGTCATAAGTATGGTTGGAAAGCCCATTTTCTTTTTAGAAAAACATCCATTCATGTTGATTTGTTTTGTAGTGGTGACTATTGATGATGGAAAAGATTTTTTTTAAAGGGACATACCTCTTTAACTTTACTTAGAAATAGTCGGTAATGGTCAGCCTTATTGTGATGTCATTCTTCATTTTCAATTAATGAGGCATTTTAATGTGAAGCAATGGTCCTAATTTAATGATCAAAATATAAAAATTCATAATACAAATTAATCTTGAATTTTGGTCTATATTCATCTGCCAAAGTTTCATCCTGTTGAAATAACTTATTTATTTTATTTAATCCCCCCCCAATTCCCAGGTGGTGCCTGGCCTTAAAGTTATAATCTGAACATGTCCTGTCTATAAACACTCGAGCTATGTTCTGTATGTAGTTGAGTTGTGTACTTCCATTATCCCAAATGTTTCCAACAATGTTCA